AGGAAGGGGGAAGGGGAAATAAATCTGTGATGAGACTGGATGTGCAGTCTCAGTGGGAGGTGAGAGGTGACCAAACCCTCCTAAAGACCCCTTAAACACACAAAATGGTAGGTGGCATTGTTCTGCCCCTCTTTACCCAGGGTGACCATACTTTGGGAAGCTCAAGCTGAAATGCTGTGGTCACTAGAAGTGAGTGTAGTGACTTCTAAGTGAGCTGGCCTCCAGGCAGAGCAACCAGGACAAGGCAATTCTCAGAGCTCACCTTCTCCAGAACATGTGAGGAATCACCAGAAGTTGTTGGAAACAAGATTGTCCATGTTCATTGACTCCAGGGCACTGCTAAGGCATTCCATTGGCTAGGGTCCCTGTTTTATGTTTCCAAATTCCCTGGTTCTAGGGACTGAGCAGATGTCCTACTGGACCTCCCTAAGGAATGGGCATCCAGGGCTCCATAGCAATATCTTCTTGTATGAGCAGAATGGGGCTGCACTGATCGGACAGCACTCTTCCATCCTGAACTGTGAGCCATCTGGTCTGGACAAGCTTTTCTTTTTTGAAGGACAAGACCATGTGCCCGCTGTGAAGTTCATTTCCCACAATCCCTATCATTGAGCTAGTCCAGTTTTGCTCACAGCTAGAGCCCCTCATTGTGGCTCTGCCTCCTGGGTTCTTTGATGAGACAATAGATGGCCTCAAGGTTGAGCCATCTGGCTGAGTAGAAAGCTTCAGGGTGAGCCATATAAACCCAGGTTCCGGGCAGCTTGGGAGATCCTGGGAGTTTTCCTCTGGGGAAATGGATAGTAAGCTGGTTTTCCAGGCCTCTGTGGGTTCTTTATGGAGGAAGGGCACTGAATGCCATTGTTTAAGCCGGATCCCACTGTCTTTGTTTGGGGATTGCCCTCCTGACGTTCATGCTGGGCTGCCTCTGGGATCATGGTCTCTTGCTGAGTCATCTGCTTGTTTTCAAACAAGCTGGGATCTCTTTCCTGAGGAAGCCTTTGCTCAGACCCCATGAACTTGCCCTTGTGTTTTACGTGATGACTGGTTTCCTGGTGGAAGGTTTGGACCGAGCAGTGCATCTGTAGGTGTGTGTGCCACAGAGACCTGGGGATCTGCAGACAGCCTCCATCAGCCTCCTCCAGCATCCCCGCTGCCTCAGGGTCCACCTTGTCCTGGGACAGTGAACGCCTCCTCTCCTTGTTAATCCAAACAGCACTGACCATGGATTCAGCAGGAGCAGGTGTGTTCCCTCCTGAGAAAGCAAGGCACAAGCAGGGTCACCGCTGGAAGGAACATGGCCAGCTCTCATTAAAGAAGGCTATGCCCCAAATGCCACAGAGGCCAGGCGCCCAATGCATTGCATATGTGTACACACATACACATGGACGCACACACGATCCTACTCACATATGCTCATACAGGTGCACTCCCTCCCAACCTCACACACCCATGCAAACTGTCCCTCTCTCTTTCTCTCTCTCACACACAATTATTCATTCATTCAAATAATATCTATTGAGCACTTATTGTGCGGCAGGCATTATTTATTCTAGGTCCTGGGAACACAGCAGTAAACATCGAGACAAAATCCATACCTTCCTGATGTGCTCTAGTGGGGTAGAAAACAATAGCAAATGAATATAATAAAATTTCCAGTGGGGCTCTGGCAGGGTAGCTCAGCTGGTCAGAGCATTGTCCAGATACGCCAAGGTTGTGGGGTTAATCCCCAGTCAGGGCACATACATGGAGCAACTAATGAATTCATAAACAAGTGGAACAGCAAACCGATGTTTTGCTCTCTTTCTCCGTTCCTCTCTCTCCCTAAAATCAATCAATAAAAAAATTTTAGGTGGTAACCAATGCTATGAAGAAAACTCAAGCATAATAGAATTTAATAATAGGCCTCAGAGAAACACCGATTGGTTGTCTTCTGTAGGTCCTGCAACCAAGGCATGTGCCCTGGCCTGGGATTGAACTGGCAACCCTTCGGTGCACAGGACAGTGCCCGCGGCTGGGCTAGGCCTCAGTTTTTGGCTGCGTGAGGGAGTGAGTCCTAAGAGGAGCTAAGGGACTCCCATTTCAGGCTGAAAGAAGGTCAAGGAGGGAAGGCACACACGTGGTCGCCCGTGTCAGGATTCACAGTCACTCATCGGTGGAGAAAACTTAACTTACCCGCTGTGCGAGGCTGATAAGGGGGTGCCGCCCAGGGCGAGGCGGGAGAAGCGTGTTTCGAAGTTTCGAAGCAGAAGCAGCTCCCTGTGGAGGGCCGGCCCTTACCCTTCCACCCCGCTCGGGGCTGGGAACACATTTGCAGCCCCCCGCTTCCCTGAACCGGCTGCAGGTGCGGTTGCCGACCAATGCCTCCGTGCTTCTTCAGGGAAATATTTTTTGCGACCTTGTGGAACGTGGTAGTTTACTGTCAACTGCTGGTGGCAGGGAGGGCTGTGGGAATGGATGTGTGAAGGGCATGTCCCTACAGAAAGCAGGTCTGTGACCAGCCTGGACTTCCCTCTGAGATGTCAGGGAAGCATTCTGGCATTTGTAGGCGACAAAGCCTGTGGCAGGAGTGGAGAGAAAGTGTTGCGGGAACAGAGCCAGAGGGAAGCCCCTGAGCCCCAGTTCTGGGACCAGGAGAAACAGGGGCGATGCAGCCACCTCCGCGAAGTCCCTGTCCTGCAAACACTAACTCGGGTGGGGAGGTTGAAAATGGGGTCCCGCTTCGTATCCATGCTACTGTTTTCTTAGTGTAACAACATGAAAGTTGTTACGCTAAGTGCTCTTCAAAGTGCTCTGTACTCACTCGAGAACAGAGGAGGCTGGGGGTGTGAGGCTTCCTTAATTCTCGGCCCTGAACTGTACCAGTAACCACAGGGACTTCCAGGCACAGCCTTGACCTTTCAGGGACCTTCCCGCCTCCCTTGACTGTTCCTGTGTGATGTCCAAGGGCAGTGGTTTGACAATAGCTTGATGTCTGAGCCCCGTGTTCCTAATTTACTCCTGCAGTGAAATCTGAGTTCCCAAAGGGAGCAGGCTCCCCCCCCTCCCCCGAAGAGGGGGCTTTTATGTCTCCTTGCACTTCCCTGGCTGCTATTTGAGGCTGTGATGAGCCAGCTCCCTAAGCCATGGCTCCTCCTGGGACCCTGAGCCCTGCACTTCCTCTGGCCAGTGCCCAGGCTGTTGGGGATGCCACGTCTTCTCTCTCTGGAGCCAGTTTCTTGGGTTTGCAAGAGGTGACTGGGTGAGACCCAGCCAGGAAGCAGAGCTCCCATCTCCCCACCTGGCCCCACAGGGGGCAAGCTTGGCTCACCAGGCAGACCAGTCCAGCAAGATCAGAACATAAGAGCAGAAGCCAGGGAACAGCAGGCTGCTGGCCAGATGCCTGGCTGAGGCCCCTGGCACAGGGGGAAGGGGACTGAGCCCGCAATGCTGCCCTGCACCAGCCTTTCTGCTCTGGCTCTGACCCCCAGGAGGCCTGCATTCCCACCGGGAGGGCCCACAGAGCCTTGGCCCTGCCTGCAGGTGGGGACCCCCCACCCCACCCACCCCACCCACAGCTAGGCCCTGCCCCCCTCCGCTGCTGCTCCCAGCACCTGCCCAGCCCTACCTTTCGGGAGCACCATGAGGTGGGCCTGGGCCCTCTGCTGCTGCCTCAGGTCTTCATACTGGGCTCGCAGGAGCTGGACGCTGAGTGGCGGCCCTTTCCCCAG